GGGAAGAGGGGGGGTGGCAGCAGCAGCTACCTCCCCCAAGCTCGTGTGTGCCGGTGTCCCTGCAAATGATTTACCTGGGGGGACCATGGTGTTCATAGAGCCCAAGGTGGGTACCCAACTTACTGAGGAGGACACTGAGCTCAGAACCCAGCTTGGGTTCATACTCCAGCTTTTATTACCGGTTTAAGCCAGTGTAAGTTAAGCCTAAATATCTCATCTGAAAAGTAGAATCATCGTAGTAACGGAAAGCTCCTCATTAGGCTATTGTGGGGATCAGACAAGCTAATGTGGTCTGTTAACTCAATCCGGACCCGTAATCCTACATCATCAGTGAATCGAGGAAGAGACAAGGGAGACTCATAGCCTGTGCTGGTTAACAAATGACATTCTCAGGCATGGGATATGGAAGACAAGAGCTGAGAGATAACCTTCAGCAAGAGAGGAAATACCCTCAGCACAGCACACGCATACCCAGGAGGCACACACCCAGGAGGTGCACACTCAGGAGGCACACACCCAGGAGGTGCACACACAGGAGGCACACACCCAGGAGGCACACACCCAGGAGGCGCACACCCAGGAGGCGCACACACAGGAGGCACACACCCAGGAGGTGCACACACAGGAGGCGCACACACCCAGGAGGCACACACACAGGAGGCGCACACCCAGGAAGTACACACAAAGAAAGTGCATACTCTGGATTATGCACTCAGGTGGAGTGCAGCCAGATGGAATGCAGCCAGGTGGAGTGCACACCCAGGAGGCATGTACACAGGAGGCACTCACACAGATGTGCAAACAGGATGCATGTACACAGTGCACACTGAGAGCCATGCACACAGGAGACAGGCAACCAGGAGGCACACACATGGTAGGCGCGTACCCAGGAGGCTCGCACACAGGAGATACAAACATGGTATGTGTACACCCAGGAGGTCCACGACCTGGAGACATGCACAAAGTAGGCACATAGCCAGGAGACACACACACACAGGAGACACACACACACAGGAGGCACAGCCAGGAGATGCACAACCATGAAAACAAAACCAGGAGCCACATGACCAGAAGGCTCAGGTGCACACTTTCTGGGTACGTACACAGGAGGTGTACACCCAGGAATGACTCACTCAGGAGGCGTATGACCTGGAGGCAGGGACACAGGCGGTGCACACCAGGATGCCAACACCCAGGAGGCATGCACAAAAGACACGCATACACAGGAGGTACGTACATAGGAGGCACACGTGCAGGTGGCATACAGCCTCGAAGTACACACCCAGGAGGTACACACAGTAGGTGTACATGCAGGAGACACACACTCAGAGATGCACACCCAAGAGGTACACCATAAAGTATGTACTCAGGCACACGCTCAGAGGCTCTCACTCAAGTGACTTTCAGGAGGCAAGCACACAGGAGGCACAGGAGACCTGTACACAGGCCTGTACACCGGAGGCCTGTACACAGGAGGCACGCACACAGGAGGCATGCACACAGAAGGCACGCACACAGGAGGCACGCACACAGGAGGCATGCACACAGGCCTGTACACAGGAGGCCTGCACACAGGAGACCTGTACACAGGAGGCACGCACCCCGGAGGCACACACACAGGAGGCACACATACAGGAGGCATGCACACAGGAGGCCTGTACACAGGAGGCACGCACACAGGAGGCATGCACACAGGCCTGTACACAGGAGGCCTGCACATAGGAGGTCTGCACACAGGAGGTCTGTACACAGGAGGCACGCACACAGGAGGCACGCACACAGGAGGCACGCACACAGGAGGCATGCACACAGGAGGCACACACACAGGAGGCATGCACACAGGAGGCCTGTACACAGGAGGCCTGTACACAGGAGGCCTGTACACAGGAGGCAGGCACACAAGAGGCACGCACACAGGCCTGTACACAGGAGGCCTGTACACAGAAGGCACGTACACAGGAGGTACATGTCATGGAGGCAAACACACCAGATGCCCACTAGCT